GCCTGCACCCAGCACAGGGCTGAGGCTGGAGGCTGGGATGAGGCTCCTCAAGAAGCGTCCCCTCCCTGCTTCAGCCCCGACACAGCCCTGCCGCACCATCCCAGGCTCCTTGATTCTTCCTTTCAGACCCTGTGGTTTACTCAAGCTGTGCTCCTGCCTAGAACGCCCTCCTTCCAGCAGCCCTCCTGGCTCAGCTGCCTCTATCAACTTTCCTGTGCAGCCCCCCACCATCCCCCACAACTCACTGCTCCGTTTGTATTTTGGAAGAGAAAGTGTGAGCCTTGGGTCGTGAGGACAGGGTTCGAATCCTGACTACCCTGGGCAAGTGATTTTCCTCACCTGTGGAACAGAGTTACAAAGTCTTTCCTCTCTGGGTCAATGCGAGGATTCAGCGCCATCACACTGCGGGGAGGGTTGTGTGGAGAGAAAGCTCCATGAGTGCTAGGGCTCCCCCCGGGCCCTCCTGGTGTTTGAATGAGGAGTTTTTGTGCCAGTTTCCTCCACCAGACTGGGAGCTCCTGAGGGCAGGGACGGAGTCTTAGTCCCACTTTGTCCCCAGGCACTTGCCCAGTGAAGTGCAGATGGATGCTCAGTGGGTGGATGAATGAATGGATGGATGGATGGATGGATGGGTGAATAAATGATCATCCCCCATATTATCATATAACTGGACCTTTCACAGCCAATTTTGGGTCATAGTAGGACCCATCATCTCACTTGATTTCTTCATAGCTGTGATCGTCATCTAAAGGAACTTACTCATTTATGAACTTTTGGTTAATGGTCCATCTCCCCCACTAAAATGTCAGCTTCGTGAAGGCAGAAACTATCTCTGTCTCATTCATCACTTTTTCCCCAGTGCCCAGAACAGTGCCTGCACACCGGAGGTGCTCAGCTAATAGTTGTTAATGAATCTGCCTTAAGCTGGGTTCTCTAGAGAAGCAAAACCAGTGAAGCATATAAAAATATGTATATATGTATATATAGATAGATAGATTTATAGCAAAGAAACAGCTCATGTGATTGTAGAGGCTGGAATGTCCCAAGTCCGTGGATTAGGATAGAGGCTTCTCCCAATTCACACAGCTGCAGGGGCTGGTGAACCCAAGATCGGCAGGTTAGGAAGCAGGGCTACTGCTTACAGGCTGTGAATATTGACAAATCCCAAGATTGGCAGGCAAGACCGCAAGGCTTCTCCTGATTCATGTAGCTGCAGGGGCTGGCAAACCCAAGATCAACAGGTCGGAAAGCAGGGCTCTGCTCACAGGCTGTGAAGATCGATGAATCCCAAGATCAGCAGATAAGCTGATAGCTCAAGTCCCAAGAACTGCAGGTCAGACGAACAGGAGGCAGCCACAGGATCCAGAGCAAGCAAAAAGCCAGAACATCTGCTTATATTCTGATGCAGGCCACACCCCCAAGGAAACTCCCTTTCAACTGATTGTTTACTCACAGCAGATTCAGTCATGGGAGTGATTGCATATAAACACTGAGAATCATACCCAACCAAGCTGACGCACAATCTTAACCATTACAGAATCAAAGAGCAAAGAAGTGTATTAATCAAATGAACTATAAAGGAGTTCCCAGTTGCCCTCTGGAGGTAGAGGGGTCCTCTTCAATTCAGTCCACAAATTCAGTCCAACAGTTCCAGTTAGAGAAAAAGACATTCATTTGTCCATTCTCTCAACAATTTTTGCAACCTACTATGTGCTAGGCACTAAGGATGCATCAAGGAACAGGACATAGTCCCTGCTCTCAAGGAGCTGCCACACAAATAGTTTTACCAAGACACTGTATGCTAAATGCTGTAATAAAGGTAGAACTCATTCAGTAAATGTTTATAGAGCACCTACTATGTGCCAGACACTGTTCTAGGCTCTGGGGACAGAGCAGTGAGCAAGTCTGCCACTGTCTCTGGTCTCATAGAGCTGACATTCACTGTGGGTAGATGAGGGGCTGTGGTACATGGTAAAAGCTTAGATAAACAAGAACTAGCAGAGAATGATATGAATAAAAGAAGTAAAACAGGGCAGTGTGACAGGGAGTAGCCAGAGTCGGGGCAGGGTGGACCACATTGATAGTCAGGGAAGACCTCTCTAAGGAGGTGACCTTGAGCTGAGGTGTGAATAATGAGGCTGGGGAAGAGCTGGGGAAGGAGTGTTCTGGGAAGAGGGAACAGCAAGGGCAAAGGCTGTGAGACCAGAACGAGCTTGCCCTCTTGAGGAGCAGGAAGAGGCCAGAGTGAGCAGAACAGAGTGAACAAAGGGGCAAGAGAACTGAGGTCTGGGGTAGGCGAGCTGGCCAGGTAGGGCCCTGAAGGCTGTGGGAAGGGGATGGCTTTTGTCCCAAAGTACAACGGAAGAAAGCCATGGCAGGCTATAGGCAAAGGAATGACCCAATCTGACTTAGAACATAAAGTGCCCAGTGGCTGCTGTGTGAAGAGTGGACGACAGGGATAAGAGAGGAAGCAGCAGGCTGTTGTGGTCCAGGAGAGAGACAATGATGGCTCGGATCAGGGGAGCAGTGGTGGAGGTGGAGAAGAATGAGTCTGGAATGTATGTTGGCAAGAGAGGCAATAGGACTCCTGGTGGATTGGTTGGGATTGAGGGGGAAAGAAGGGAGGCAGGGGTCCAGGAACTCTTAGATTTTTAGTTGATCCAACTGGGTGGACAGTTGCATCATTTTCTAAAGTCAGAGAGATGAGGAAGAATGGACATAGGTTTGTGAATTCTGTTTTGCCCAGGTTTGTTTGAGATGCCTATTGGGCAGCCAGGTAGGGAGTTGGAAGTCCATCCAGGAGCTCAAGTGAGTGCTCAGGGCTGGAGGTGTAAGCATGGGCATCAGCAACATGCAAATGAGAGAGAATGGAGGTGAGAAGGGGCCCAGGATGGAGCTGTCCGGCAGCCAACAGTTAGGGGTTGAGCAGGGATGGAGGAGCCAGCAAAGGGGACAAGGAAGAGCAGCCAGGGAGGTGGGAGGGAGGCCAGGAGGAGAAAGAGGAGGGCTGGGCAATGTCCATGTGCTGCTGAGAGGAAGATGAGAGCAGAGAAGTCACCATAGGCCTTGGCCACATGAGGTATTGACTGCTTGACAAGGCCTGTCTCATGGAAGCCTGCTTGGAGTGTGGGAGGAGAAAATGGGCGACAAGGAGGTAGAGGTCCTACCCGACTCTTTCCGAAAGTCTGGCCATGAAGCGGGGCAGAGGATGGGGAAGTAGCTGAAGGGAAACAGAGGTAGAGAGAAGGTTTTTGAAAGATGAGAGATGCCTGGGCTTCTTGGATGCTGATGGCCTGAGCTTGTGGTGAGGGGACTTGATGAGGCAGGAGAGAGAATGCAGAAGAGGCCCTGAGCAGGGGCGAGGAGGCATCGCAGAACATGGCGATACTCGGGGAGTGATTCGGCAGAGAGAGAGAAACACTGATGACCCAGCAGAGACAGTAGAGCCCTGGTGGAAGGCAGGGGGCCAGTCCAGAGCCCATGTGGAGGAGCCGGCCTTTGATGGAAGCAGGGACGGCTCTTCCTTTGTTGCAGGCGGGCAAGTAGAGGATATGGGCAGAAATGCAGGCAGGATGATGACTTGGGGAGGGAAGATCAGGGTGATGCTATCGAAGGCTTCTAGATGTCAGTGAGGGGTGAGGAGAAGCCAGCAGCAGGGTGTGGGGAGGTGGGGTGCTGATGTTGGAGGTTGGTGTCA